TGTGGGGGGCGAGTCAGAAGGAGTGGATGGTGGCAGGGTGGGGCTACCCTCCGTCCCCGTGGAGTGTCCTGTTTTTTGAATGTTAACATATGGTATCCCTACCTTCCCAGTGCAGCTCTCCATTCACTGCAGCATGAGGTCTCAGCTACCTCACTCCCTCCCCCTCTTTCCTGTTGGTAGTGGCCAAGGGAATGCTGGGAAATGTAGTTCTTTCCCTGCTCCAGGGCTGGCTCTATAGGCAGGGAGCTAACCAAGGAACTACAGCTCCCAGGGCCCCCTGTTGGTTCTCAGCTCCCATGCTGGATCCCTGCCGCCCCTGCAAATGGGCTGCCCCAAGCACCTGCTTGCTTTGCTGGTGCCTAGAGCCGCCCCTGAATGGGGATGTGCGAGAGGGCAGGAGCGGGGAGAGCTGGGATGTGTGAGGTGACAGGAGTGGGGTGAACAGGGATGTAGGGGGTGGGATGGGGATGTGGGGCCACTGAAGGGAGGCTGAGGGAATACCCAGGAATCGGGGAGAATTCTGGGGCTCAGGGGAACAGAGCTGGAATAGAGGGAAACTGAGTGGGGGGGATAAAGGGACGGAAAGGGGAGATGTGGAGAGAGGGGTTGTGGGGAGGCTGGAGGGAGAATATGAGAGCAAGCGGAGACTGGCTGGGGCAGGGAGAGGGATGGTGAGAGATACAATGGCCGCTCCCCCAGCCCGTGGGGTAGGAGAGCGGGATGCCCCACCCCGCAGCCAGTGCGGAATCTTTTTCCCTAGACGAGATCAAACAAGCGGGGGAGGGAATGGGCAGGGGGCTCAGAATTTACAAGGCAAATATCCCCGTCCCCCACATACACCTCCTCCCAATTTAGTCTTTGTTTTTTTAAGACAGTCTCATTATTTTGGGGGCATGACTACTGCATGTTAAATGTTTGGGGCTGACAGGACTCAACAGAGTCCTGCTCTGATATCTGTGCAGGATTCTGTGTGAAACCAGAGTTACTGTTAGGAACAGCAGGCAAGGAGTCCAACTGGCATTTGTTTTGGTTTGATTCAGGTTCAGTTAAATTCAGTTTCATTTCTGGTTCAAGCCACCCAAGTCAGTTACTGGTTTAAATCCTATTTCAATCTTAGTGGAGGTAAATCCAAGAAAGAGAACTGGAACTTAAAATGCAAATAGTTTTGATTTTTGATTATTTTGTAACTTTAACTTTACATGAGTTTTCCTAGTGTTTTTCTGATGTCAAATATACACAATTATTTTTTCCTAAACCGTCTGTTTGAACAACCTAAAATAACATATTTAGACATTTGCTTTGTCATATTGGACCTCTGCAGTGAAAGGATACAATTGAGGCCTGGAAATTTTCTTTTGACACTCATTTGTTTTGCTGGAACTGTCAGTACAATTTTCACTAGTTTATTTAGCTTGAGCATGGCATTTTTCAGATGTTCCCAGTAGTTTGGTATGTTTTCTTTCTTGCCGAGATATGGCTCATCTGCAAATGAATCAGAAATTGGTCCAATCCATTTTTGGGGTTTCCTTCATCCAGATATTACTTCCTTTTTAGAGATTTCACAAGCATTCAGAAGAAGTTCCAATTCATCTTTCAATTTCAGATGCATCTGACATTGACTCTATGACATCATTATTTCTGACTCAAGCATATCCATCTTCATCCACGTGTTGGTGTAATGAAATTTTGCCTTGACTTTGTCCTCTGCTGACATTGAGGGTTGATATTTAGGATCAAGATATATGTGTGACATTCTATACCTTGGGGGAACAGCCTGTGACCCCCATATTCCTCATCTGTATATAATTGTGATATTACATATAAAACATGCCATGTGAGGTATCAGGGGGAAAGTTATGATTGACTGAAAGTCACTGTTCTATCTAAATATGTATATCTTTAGTGCGTATGAACTTATGAGCTTGTGTTGCATGGTTGTCACTAAAATATGCAGTGGGTTCGGGAGGTGTCCAGATACTGGCTCTACAGAGACAATGACAAGAGAGGTAACCAACACCTGGGTGGGTGCTGTCGAATAGAAATCACCAGCCATTGTCCAGCAAGGGAGTTGCAGTTCAATGACTCACCTGCATGAGGCCATACCAGGGGAATTGCTCAACCTTGCTTAGGGACTCAGCAATAACCACGAAACATGCCTGGACTTGTATTCTCCAAGCACATGGACTAAGGGTATAAAAACCAAACAAAGGGGCCCATGCTTGGCCTTTCTCCTTCACCCACCTATGCTGCAAGCAACAAGGAAACTCGGAAGACTCCAACAGTGGGTACTGGCCCAGATTTCAAGGGTGAAATCTGTAGGACTGCAATATCCAGTGGGGGGTGAGAAAAACTGCTTAGTCTAGTTGTTGCCCAGTCTAATAGGGTTGAGAGTTTAGACTGTGTGCTAATATTTTATTTCTTTTGGTAACTAACTGACTTTTTGCCTATCACTTAATATCACTTAAAATCTATCTTTTATAGTCAATACATTTGTTTTACTGTTTATCTTTACCAGTGAATTTGTCTGAAGTGTGTGGGAAATCTGCTCAGATTTTGCATAGGCTGGTGTATATCCACATTCCACTGATGAAGTGGTGAACCAGTTAATAAATCTGCATTGCTCATCATGAGCAGTGCAAGACGGTATATGCCTGAGGTACAGTGCTGGGGGGATTTGGCTCTGATGCCTTTCTCTGTGTGATTCATGAGTGGCTCTGCAATCTAGCTCGCTGTTGTATCTCCACATGTGGTTGTGCTGAGTGATAACAGCACCTGGAGGAGTTTGCTGCTGGTCACTAGCATGGCATTGTGAGAGACAGCGCAGGCTTGAGAGAGTTCAGGGGGCACAGCGGTCCCACAGTCCCAGGCTGCACCCCGGGGATCCTGTCACAATATGTATGAGATAAACATATCTATCTGGGGTAGGGGTGGGGGGTTGGAGGTGGATATCCAACAGTCGGAGGGGGCTGGGAGCCAGCCCTGCAGGTGGCTTCAGTGGGGAAGGGAGTTTGGAGCATGAACTCTGCCTCAAGTGGGGCAACAGGAGGGAGGAGCTGCCCCAGGGGTTGGGAGGGTGGGAGGAGGCCTATCCAAGGGGAGAAGGTTGGGGACCCGTTATCTTTGCCCTTGGACTTGAAGAGTTATGAACTTCAGGGCCCAGGGAGCCTCCCACCTCTTCTCTCCCCAGGGGGACATCTCAGAGGTGGCTCATCTACCTCTGACCCCGCTTCTGCCTCCCATGGTGTGCAGGCAGCTGCCAAGTTTTCCCTCTCCCTCCCTGCTCCTGTGGGCTGTCCCCCTTCTATTCTCACTCTCTTCTCATTATCCTGGGGCAGGCTGTTCTGGGACAAGCACCAGCCCGCTGGCTAGTGTGATGTCTTCTCTTAAATGAGAATAAGATCTCTGTAGTTTATTTATTTTTATTTATTTTTTTAGTCATAAGCTTAAAAATGCTGAATCTTTATTTTAACTGGTAACAATACCCTTCCCCCCTTTTTTTGTTCAGTTCCATTGAGGTTCAGTCAGTAAAACAAATTTATGGTTGAGATTTGGTTCCAGTTCAGGTATGAAATACCAGTTTGATGATTCCAATGTGAGTCCAGATGGGCAAATGGGAACATCATGAGCCTGACTGTGCCTGGGGGCTACAGGAGCAGCACAGGGGGGCTCGGTCATTAGCTCCCCCCACCAGAGGGAGCTGGTAATTGCTAAGGCCAACGAGGTTGGTATAAGTCTCTGTGCTCAACATACTAGAGCCCTAGAGCTAGCTGGGCTTTGTTGGACAGATGCTGCTGCCCAGAAGGGTCTATGTTGGGACAGATCTTCATTAAAGTCCCCTCTGTGCCCAGCCGAGGTGGGGCTTCCTCCTGTGGCTGGAACCAGCCCCTGGGGCAGCTCAGGGCTTTGCTGGCATCAGCTCCTGAGCCAGAGTGTGTAGGTGGTAAGACTCCTGGGGGTAAGTGCTTGGGGCAAGCAGGAATGTGACCCTGCACAAACGGCCCCTCCACACCCCATCTCTGCTCCCGGGTGTCTGCGAGTCCCAGAGTTGCTGCCCCCCCGACACACCCAGGCTCACACTCCTGTTAGCAGTGGCAGTAGCTGTTGGAGAGGAAACACCCACAGGAATGGCAGGACAGTAACCAGCTCTTCCATGCAGAAGGGGGAGTGGAAAGACTGAAGGGGGCAGCAGGAGCAATAAGTTGGGAGGGAGGTTTCCAGTTTCCAACCCTTCCCACCTCCATTCCCCTGCAGTGTCCCAGGGGCAGACTGACTTTTCTGGGGAGAAGGTGAGGAGCAGAGAGAGGAGTTCCTGCCTCTGCCTGGTCCCTGTGCTGCTAGGGGAATGTGCTGCCCTGGGGACAGTGTCAGGGGGGATCCCCCAAAGCTGCTCCTTTGATTCTGCTCTTTTCTAGTGTTTGGCTCAGAGACTCTGTTCCTGGGAGGGTTTAAAAGTGTCTTGTGGGTTTAGTCCCACTGGGAGGGGTCAGGTCTGTGTTGTAATAACATAACTGATGAGGCTTTTCCCAGCATGGCAGAGTCTAGAGTGTCTGTTTGCAGGGAAAGAGCCTGGGGGGAATTGGGGTGTGAAACGGACTAACGCTAATTCACAGACCTCCCCAATTGCCCTTCTCACCCTGACAGGCTGCAGAATATTCACCAAGTTTTGTTCCAGATCATCCCATCATCCTAGGGGACAGGGAAGGGAAATGGCTGTGGTGGATCCAGCTCAGATAGGGGATTTTTGGGGACAGCTGCTGGGGAGGGTTGTTGTGGAGGGGGAGGGGCAGGAAAGGGTGAGTCAGGGAGCTGATGGTGTGATAAACCTGCTGGGACATGCTCAGCGTAGGGCTTGATTTATGAATAGGCCCATGGGCAGGGGTGTGTGTGTGAACATTCCCCCATTTCTGAAAAAGGAAACAAACCCTTGGACGGGGCTGGGAAAAGAGTCCTGAGTGCTGGAGCCTGAATGCACTAGGCACAGACTGGGTGAAATACAAAGGGAAGATGCTGGGGTTCCTGTTCCCTGCACTGATCTCTGCTTCGCACATCAGCCTGTGCCTCCTCCTTCTGCTGGGAGGGACAAGGGACTCTCCCCTTCTCTGTGTTCCATGAAGCCTCCTGGCCACTCTGAGCAGGATGGGGATGGGATTCTGCTCCTCTGGCCTCCCAGAGCTGTCCTATTTTTGTGCTTCTTCCCCCATGAATAGTGGGGTTGTGGCTGGGGCAGCAGATACTGAGGGGGGGCACCTGTTGTTTCAGATGCCGGTGACCTTTGAGGAGGTGGCTGTGTATTTCACCGCAGGGCAGGGGGCTCTGCTGGACCCCGGTCAGAGAGCCCTCTACAGGGACGTCATACAGGAGAATTATGAAACTGTGATCTTGCTGGGTAAGGATTTGTATCTCCTCAGACTGTCAGCTATTTGAAGCCACGGGACCTGTATTTCTGAATCTGGTCAGGTTCTTCCCTGGTCAGTTAGATTAGAGGGGAATGGGTCACATAGTCCACAGCTCCAGTATGTGAGAGCCGTTCACGTCCAAACTGCTTCCAATGAGATAGGGGAGTCATGAACCTAATGGACATGACAATTCATCTTCAGCTCTCATGGAGGCAGAAGCAGTGTATCATCCTCTCTGCATTAATTCTCACTCACACTCAGAATCTCTGTGCATCTCCCTTTCTGGGACTAGCTCTCACTGTGGGGAGGGATCTGGGCTCTGGAGGTTTAGACACAGGCAGGGGTTTAACACCAGAACTGTGTGTGCCTCAGGAAGTCTCCCAGAGCACACACATCCTGAAAACTTCTGGTGATGGTGTGACAACTCCCCCCTCCCCAGACATCTGCCTCTCCCGAAGGGACTCAGTGACCACATGCCCATCTGTTCACATCCCACAACCCCCCAGCAAATCATGGGGTCAGTTTAAACTCAAGATGTGTCCATTGCAACAAATACTGCCCCAATCCTCATTGCACTCTGATCATGTCTGATTTCACTCCCTCAGCAGGACTCCCCATTCCCAAACCTGCCCTGATTGCCCAGCTCAAAAGAGGGGAAGAGCCATGGGTCCCGGATCTCCAGGACTCCAAGGAAAGTAAGAACCCAAGAGGCACCCGCACAGGTGAGAAGTCAGTGACACTGACACAGAAACTATATGGCAAATGAAGGAAAAAGCAGAAAATCCCCAAAATGTGGTGTGAGCGCCCTCAGTTCTGTCTCATCTCACCCTGGTCTCCTGTGGTCAGCAGGTGTCATGACATCATGGCAGATATCGCTCATGGCTTCCCACCCACCCCTGTTAGCTGCCAGGAGTTTTCTCCCTGACTTCACTCCCCTGTCAGTGTTTGGATGGGATGTGGAGACAGAATCCAGTTTCTCAGTCTTCCAACGGTTACTGTGTTGTGTTTTCCTTCTTTGCTTTTCACTTTGTCCTTTCTGCTAACCCAGGCAATGAATCCTGTCTTGATTCTTTCTCTCCCCCAGCAGATGATGGGAGAATGCGTGAAAACGAGGAGGGGAATCCACAGCAGGAAGGTCCTGAGCAAGTGGAACTGCAGGGGAACTTTTTGAGAAGAGTTGAAGAGAACTTTTCCCAGTGCTTGGAACAGAGAAAAGCCTGGAGTAATTGGCACAGGTCAGAGAGGAAGCTGGGAAACCACCCAAGAAAGCAAGTGCATGAATCCTTTGAATTTGGGGGAGGAGACAAGGATTCCAAAGAAACCACAACCCAGCAGACAAATCCCAAAGAAAAGGAACCCTATAAATGCTTGGAATGTGGAAAAAGCTTCAATTGGAGCTCAAATCTTACTGCCCATCGAAGACTGCACACGGGAGAGAAACCGTATAAATGCCTTGAGTGTGGGAAAAGCTTCAGTCAGTGCTCAGGCTTTACTAGCCATAGGAGAATCCACACATGAGACAAACCCTATAAATGCCTTGGGAAATGTTTCAGTGTATCATCAGCCCTTATTGTACATCAGAGAACTCACACAGGAGAGAAACCCTATAACTGCTTGGACTGTGGGAAAAGCTTCAGTCTGCACTCAAGACTTATAAACCATAGGAGAGTCCACACAGGAGAGAGACCCTATAAATGCCTGGATTGTGGGAAAAGTTTCAGTCAGCGCTTACATCTTAATAGCCATGGGAAAATCCACATGGGAGAGGGACCGTATAAATGCTTAGACTGTGGTAAACGTTTCAGCGGACCATCAGGCCTTATTGCACATCAGAGGACCCACACAGGAGAGAGACCCTATAAATGCTTGTACTGTGGGAAAAGCTTCAGTCAACGCTCAAGCCTTATTACCCATGGGAGAATCCACACTGGAGAGGGACCATATAAATGCCTTGAGTGTGGGAAAAGTTTCATTAGACCATCAGCCCTTATTGTACATCAGAGAACCCACACAGGAGAGAAACCCTACACATGCTTGTACTGTGGGAAAAGCTTCAGTCAGTGCTCACATCTTACTAGCCATGGGAGAATCCACACGGGAGAGGGACCACATAAATGCCTTGAGTGTGGGAAAAGTTTCAGTGCACCGTCAGCCCTTATTACACATCAGAGAACCCACACGGGAGAAAAACCTTATAAATGCTTGGACTGTGATAAAAGCTTCAGTCAGAGCTCAAATCTTACTGCCCATCGTAGACTGCATATGGGAGAGAAACCCTGTACATGCTTGGACTGTGGGGAAAAAATTCAGTGGACATGAGCCCTTATTGTATATCAGAGAACCCACATGGGAGAGAAAACGTATAAATGCCTCCACTGTGAGGAAAGTTTCAGTCAGTGTTCACACCTTATTAGACATCAGACAATCCACACAGGAGAGAAACCTCATAAATGCTTGGATAATTGGAAAAGTTTCAGTCCCAGCTCATACCTTCATAAAAATTGGAGAATTCCCATGGGACAGAATCTATAAATGCCTCAACTGTGGGAAAAGTTTTATTCGAAGATCAAACCTTGCTTCACATCAGATAATGCACACATGAGAGAGAACCCATAAATTTTTGGATTGTGGGAAAAGCTTCAATAACTGCAGGAAAAGATGCCGTCTGAGCTTTCACATTATTTCTCATCACATAATTCACAGAAGAAAGAGCTTGAATGTGGAGGAAGCTTTATTTGGTGCTCACATGGCATCAAGCATCAGCAAATCCACACAGAGAAGATGTTTTTAGCATAGAAAATGCTTCAGTTGGAGCTAACACCACATTGGACATCAGAGACTCCTCCACACAGGAGAGAAATTTCCTAAGTGCCCGGATTAGGGCTCGCCATAGTAAAAACTCCATTTCCTTATTCCCACACACAGATATCTAGCTGCCCAGCTCAGGGGGCAGGTTCCAGCAGCTGCTGACCCTTAGCTAACCGTAGGCAGAGGAGGAGAAGTCCCAATCAGCCCTGTGACAGGTTGTGCGCTGCCCCCCTCCTCCCCTGATCTGGGGATGCCACATGACGTACTGGGGTTCCACTGAACCTGCCCGTTCCACCAGCCAGGGCCCCCTCACCCTGTCCTGCTAAGCCAGGCTCTCCAACCTACTCTGGCAAACACACAGGTAGGGCCACATCCTGCTGCAGAAAGACACAGACACTGAGATTAGGCCTGCACAGGAAGACCCAGCTCAGGAAGTACCCAGCACTCGTGTGCACACTATTGTAGGAGTACAAACCCAAGGAGTGAATTGTCTTGTGCTGCACAGCGAACTGTGCAATGTAAGCTCGTTGGTTGCCCCCTCCCTTGATGTGGAGGAAGATATGCACAGATTCTTGCCCCCGCAAGTTATGGATTCCACAAACTGACTTTAAGGTAAACAAAATGAGTTTATTAACTGTAAAAATAGATTTTAAGTGATAATCAGGGATAGCAAACAGATCAAAGCAGATTACTTAGCAAATAAAACAAACATGCAAACTAAGCTTAATACACTACAGAAATTGGCTACAGATAGTAATTTCCTCACCCTAATGTTGCTTCAAGCATCTTATTTGCAGGCCAGACCCCTTTCCAGCCTGGGCCCAATCCTTTCACTTGAGCCTAGTTTCAGGTGTTCACAGCAGTTATCTCGGGCAGGGATCTCCTCCTGAGAAGCAGGGATGGGCTGACTTTGATTACTTCACTCCCCAGCCATAAATAGGATTTAAATAAGGTGGGAAAGCTTTGTTTCCCAGTCTTATCCCCACTTCCTTTTTGTGGAAAAATACAAGCAGCCCAAGATGGGGTTTAGTACCAGGTGACATGACCACATGACCCTGCAGTGTTAAAGCAGACTTGAACCAAAGTTATCCCAGGAAACTTCTCAGGAAGGTGAGAGATTAGCACTTTCAAAGTTCTATTGTTCCCCCTAATGGCCCATTGATTAGTCAGCCAGGCTGGTTGCATTTTGTTTGATAGGCATTTCCCAGGAGCAAACACTTCTGTAATTGATACATAGTCAATATTCCTAACTTCACATGCAGAAACGATACATACATACAAATTGGATAATCCTAGCCAGTACATCATAACATTTCTAATGATACCTTACATAATCCATCTTGCATAAAACAAATTTTAGTTATGCCATATTCATATCATAACTATCGTTATAAAGATTATTGGGCCTACTGCCACAAGCCCTTACTCCATGCTGCAACCCTGGCTGCTGAACTGATGTGCCTTCCTGCCGCCTGCTAACCTGCTGGAAGAAGAAAGAGAGAAACTTCTCTAGAAGTTTCCTCTGCCTGGATGAATTCCCACCCTCTCCCTTCCATTCTCATATGTGATGCCCCTTCCATGGAGACTAGGAGAGGGATACTTGGGCCAGGCCCCACAGTCGCTCTGGACACCTGTCCCCATCTTCCAGCAGCCATTGGGCTGGGCTCCCCCACTTAACTGGAGTTGGTCTCTGCAGGGAAGTGTCCCTGGGACTGACAAGTCTTCCCTTCCCTAAATCACCTGAGGTGGTTGTGACTTTCTGTACCTCGGGGGGACACCCAGCGCCCCCATGTTCATCATTATAATATGATTGTGTAGTATCCAATGCAAAGTTTGTCATGTAGGGTGTCTTTGGAAGGCTCATGATGCACTGAGCATTGTCGTTATAGTAATGTTATAGGTTGTAATTTCATGTATATAGTTATGAGGCTGAAAATGTGTCCTCATGGCTTAAAACAAGCCCAGGCAAAACCCTCCAGGAACAGAGGGGCAGTTCACACCTCACCAGGGCATGTATGGGACAAACCCAGCCCAGTCTCACAGGAACAAAGGACATTGGCCTAGGCAGCAACAAAGGATCTGTTGGACTCTCGAGTGATTCACCCTCGTTCCCTTGGTCAGTCAGGGACTACAATGAGGTAATGCTCACCTGACCCTGAAGGGCTAGGGTGGGACAAAACCAAGAGGGAAGAAAGAATATCATAAAAGGGAGAGACGTTTGCCATGCTCTTCCTCGCTCTTCCACCTCCATCTACAGACATCACCACCAAGCGACTGAAGCGCTGATCGAAGGGGAGAGCTTGGCTGAAGGGCAACCAGCCAGCCTGTGGTGAGACGCATGTAAGTTTGTAAGGGCACTGAAAGTATTAAGATATTCTTAGAATGCATTTTGCTTTTATTTCATTTGACCAAATCTGACTTGTTATGCTTTGATTTATAATCACTTAAAATTTATCTTTGTAGTTAATAAATCTGTTTTGTTTATTCTACCTGAAGCAGTGCGTTTGGTTTGAAGCATGTCAGAGACTCCCCTTGGGATAACAAGCCTGGTACATATCAATTTCTTTGTTAAATTGACGAACTCATGTAAGCTTGCAGCGTCCAGCAGGCATAACTGGACACTGCAAAATGGAGGTTCCTAGGGTTGTGTCTGGGACCGGAGATATTGGCTAGTGTCATTCAGTTGCACAATCCAAGGAGCGGCTTACATGCCAGAGGCTGTGCGTCAACAGCCCAGGAGTGGAGGTTCTCACAGCAGAGCAGGGTAGGCTGGCTCCCAGAGTCGAGGATTGGAATGACTTAGCAGATCACCGGTCCAGATAACACCAGAGGGGAATGTCACAGTGGTGCATTCCAGGGAATCCAATGTGAAGGGATGGGTTTTGGGGAGGAAACTGGGATTCAATGCTTGGGTCTGGTGGATGTAGAAGATGTTGTGTGTGACAAACTGGGACTGTTCTTACTGTGGGCTTTGAATGCTGACAGGGGAGTGTGGCTAGGATAGTCTGCATTGGGGGATGGGAGACTGACCGATGGAGAATACCTGAGCATGTAACATGAGAACCCAGGAAGGGGTTAGAGGCCAGGTGACACCTTTGCCCGGGAAACTGAACAAAGGCTGTGGGGGGGGGGCGCTGAAGGCAGAGTCTCAGGAGCTGGCTGGTGATGTGGCTGGGAGGGAGACAGGGCTCTGACCTCCCAAGGGGGTTGGGGTGCCCTGGGACCCCAAGATGGACCTAACTGAGGGGGGTCCTGTTGTCTGTGCCTGCAAGACCTGTCTTGGTCTGTGTTCCTGTCGTCTAAATAAACCTTCTGCTTTACTGGCTGGCTGAGAGTCATGGTGAATTGCAGGAAGCCGGGGGTGCAGGGCCCTGAGTCCCCCACACTCCGCGACAAGTGGTGGCAGAGGTGGGATGTACTGCACCCTGTGGATGGTGCTTCCTGCAGTAAGTAACTGGGGAGCAGTAAAATGAAGGGGGATCGACGGGGACCAGGCGGGCGGAAGAGTCAGAGAGAGACGGTTCAGGGGGCGATTAACCCCTGGGAGTGTATGACCAGAGAGAAGGACTGTTGCAGTAACAGGGTCCCCTGGGGGATCGCAGCGAGCGGTCCCGGGGCGGAGGAGTCTGCAGCTCGACCCTGGCAGAGAGGCGGTGACCTGAGGAAGGGCTGGCACACTAGGGGGTACCCTGGGATGGCGGAAAGCGGAGAGCACAGGCCGGCGAGTGGCCAGCAGGAGGATGTATGCTAAATGCCTTAAGAGCGACCTGGTGGAGCTGTGCAGGCAGAGGGGGCTGCGCATTGGGAGGTCCACCAAAGAACAGCTAATTGCCCAGCTGGAGGAGAGGGATCGCTTGGATGAACCGAGCCCTGTGCCTGAGGGCAGTCGCCCGGCGGATGCAGCGTTGGCCCCGGGGCCTGACATGGCTGGGAGGGGTCAGACTGCTGCCGAGGACATCCCGAGACCCTGCCTACCTATACCTCGGGGAGGGGTTGGGGGAAGCCCAGCGAATACCGAGGGCACCCTGACCCCGGTGGCCAGCAGGGGATTGTCCCGGCGGAGCTCCCCGTCCCGGGAGCGGATGCGACTGGAATGTGACAGGGAGCTGAGACTGAAAGAGCTCGAGCTCGAGTTAAGACAGCAAGAACTGAAGCAGGAGCGGGAAGAGAAGGAGAAACAACGTCAGCATGAGCGGGAAGAACGGGAAAAACAGCGTCAGCATGAGGAGAACCAACGTCAGCATGAGCTGGAACTGGCCAGGCTGAGGAGCAGTGGGGCCCCGGCTGCGGTAAGCGAGGGGGGACCCAAGACTGCAAAGAGCTTTGATAAGTGCTTTCTGGCCCAGCGTAAGGAGGGGGAGGACATGGATACCTTCCTGACGGCCTTTGAGAATACCTGCGAGCTGCTCCAGGTTGACCCATCAGAGAGGCTCCAGTTTCTCATCCCCTCACTGGACCCCACAGCCAGGGAGGTGTACAGCCGACTGAAAGGGGCGGAGACAGGGGACTATGAACTGTTCAGAAAGGCCCTGCTCCGCGAGTTTGGGCTGACCCCTGAGATGTACCAGCAAAGGTTCCGGAGTCAGCATAAAACCCGTGAGGTCACATACCTACAACTAGCCAACCGGGCGCAGGGGTATGCCCGCAAGTGGACAGCTGGGGCCCAAACTATAGAGGACCTGCTTGACCTGGTCGTACTGGAGCACGTGTATGAGAAGTGCCCATCCAACCTGAGGCAATGGTTGATGGACCGAAAGCCAGAGAACCCGCAGCACACAGGCCAGTTGGCCGATGAGTTTGTGAACAGTCAGCAGGGGATAACCGGGAGGAGTCCCAAAGGAACAGGCCCGCCACAACGCAAAGAGAGAGTCACTATGGGACCTCCCAGCAGGAAAATACGGAAAGCCCCCACCAAAGGAGAACATCCAGCGTCAGGTCCATCTGACCCACTCGAGGGGACCCATGGAACATGGGCTGCTATCACTGTGGCCAGAGAGGCCACATACGGGCCCAGTGTCCCAGGCTCAGGGACAGACTGAGCAGACCGAACCCACAGAAGGTTGACTGGGTAGAGACCCAGCCGGGCGAGAGGCAGCATTCCCAAGGAAGGGGGGCTGGCAGAATACCACCTGCTAAGGAGGGAGGAGAGCTCCAGGCCAGCTCCTCTAAGGGGCTGGATGCTCCCGACTCAGGGTTTTTGGTTTATACGGTGGGCGCGGGGCGGTCCCTCCGGAGAGAGTACCTTGTTCCCCTGGAGGTGGATGGGAGGAAGGTCAATGGATACCCTCCGGAGAGAGTACCTTGTTCCCCTGGAGGTGGATGGGAGGAAGGTCAATGGATACAGGGACACGGGTGCAGAGGTGACGCTGGCCCGGCCCGAGGTGGTGGCCCCAGATCGGGTGGTGCCCAACACCTACCTGACCCTGACGGGGGTGGGTGGGACCCCATTCAAGGTACCGGTGGCGAGGGTGCACCTGAAGTGGGGGGCCAAGGAGGGCCCCAAGGACGTGGGGGTACACCCGTATTTGCCCACTGAGGTGTTGATGGGGGGGACCTGGAGGACTGGCCAAGCAACCCCCAGGGTGTCCTGGTCGTAACCCGTAGCCAGAGCCGGCGAGGGGCACTGTGCCCTGGCCTTGGGGAGGGTGCCTTGCCTGAGGCGCAGGACCCTAACCTGGTGGGGAGGAAACACCCAGGGACACGGTTCAGGGAGGCTGCGGCTTCAGACCCAGCCGGCGAGAGAGAGCAGGTGGCCATCCCTGTCCCAGCTGCTGAGTTTCAGGCTGAGTTGCAGAAAGATCCCTCCTTGCGGAAGATAAGGGACCTGGCCGACCTCAG